CCCTTTGCCATGCCGGCGTGTGGCCTCGTTGCCGCCAATGCTGCCTCCTGCCCACCTCCACCCCTCCACTGCAGGTAGGGGACTGGGATGCTGCGCTGACTTGCAGCATCTCTGCACCACCCCAGCCACCCTTCGGAGATCACCCCTGTCCCGCAGGCACCTACGCAGCTCCCATGCTGCCAGCCCTGTGCTGCTCCCAAACCCTCCCTGCCCTGCCTCGCCTCACGGCTGTGCAACCGAGGGTTAGGGAGGGAAGCTGTGTGACCTTGTGGCCAGGTTCTCCTTGAGGTCAGGTCCCTCCTGCCCTGTCACGTAGCCCCCGCAGACCGCACCTGGCCATCAGTCATGGGCATGGTGCGCTGGTGTCCTTGCCCAACCCCCATGCAAGTCCCAGGGAGCCTGGGGAGATGTTGCCCCTGCAAAGTGTCCCCCGTCTTGGAGCTGGGGTCCAAAGGGACCCTTCAAAAGGCTGCCCGGAGGTGTCTCCCGTCGTCGCCGACGTGCAGCCCCAGGGGTCTGCAGCCAGAGCTCGCTCCTCTCCTGCAGGAACCTCTCTGCCATCCAGGACCGAGAGATTTGTTGCTACTCCATCTCCTGCAAAGAAAAGGACAACATCGGTGAGTACCAGCGGCTCCGGTGTGGGGCTCAGGGTGCGGCAGCGGAGGGGACAGCCCGTGCCCATGGGGGTAGCGTGCCCAGGCTGTTTGCCCAAGTACAGGAGGGGGTGATGGCCAGAGGGAGAGGCTCTAAGTGTCCCCTTGCCTTTGCAGACATCACCCTACAGTGGCTTATCCAGCACTCGAAGTCTAGGAGAAGCTGAGATCCCGTGGACCGCGGCTCGGATCGGGAAGATGCCATTGTACAAGCCCATGCCCCTTCTCTCTCCTGCTCTGTCCCTCCAGCTCTCTCTCTAGATGGGTATTTTTAGGGGACCCCAGACTCCGCTCGCATTGAGGTGGAGCCCTTGTTTTTATTGTAAAGAAAATGTCTGACTGCCCTCCTCAACTCTCTCTGTCTCTTCCTCCCGTTTTGGCACTGTTCTGTTGTTGTCTGTGTATACAGTATATATATATGTATATATATTTTAATTTTTTAATTTAAGCGATAGCGCTGTTACTAAACTGGGCCCTGTGAGCGGTAGGAAGGCTGTGGGCTCCCTGAGGCCAGCTGAGGGTCATTGCTGGGAGGAAGATGAGGGTGGTGGCAGAAGGCAGCCCCTTGGGGATGGGGCCATGCCAGGCTGTGGGCGGGTCCCCTGGGGCTCCCTTGTCCATTCCCCGGGTGTCCTGCCTGTACCCCCAGGCAGGGAGCATCCCAGGGATGTCAGGAGCACGACCACCTTGCCCTTCCCTGGGCTTCAGCCCCAGGAGCAGGATTTGGGGGGAGGTGGTGCCGTCCCCCCGGGCTCCTTGCCCCTCTCGGGGG